ATCATTAGAAACCACTCAAAATGAAAAGCTGGGTAATAATATTCTTAAACTACATAGTGCCAACAAATCAATCAAGCTGATATGGGTGCCAGGCCACTCTGGTATCCATGGCAATGAACAGGCTGATCGATTAGCCGGGTCAACTGGCGATCTGGACCTTATAGTCCAGACAGATCTTAGGTGTTTTGTGTCTTATAAAAGCAAAAATCCATCTCCTGTGGCAATGTGAGTGTCTGTTTCTGACTTTGGACCGACCTGCAACTCCTGTGGCAATGTGAGTGTCAGTTGCAGGTCGGTCCAAAGTCAGAAACAATGTTGAAGTGTGGAACACAGCCCACAGAAAAGTCAGGAGGGAGGTGGTGGTGTTGGCCCGCCTAAGGGTCAACAGTACAAGATTGACACACCTCACTCCCTACATCGAAAAGACCTTTCCCCCTTAATGCCGAGACCAACACCAGCAGCACAATAAATCATTTAATAACCACATGTCAAAAATATAACCAAAGACAACACCTGAAAATTATTTCAGAATTATAAATAAAGAATACGTATTTTTTCATTTGATATTATATTTATTAGTGTAGAGTAATGACCTTTCTAAGGGAGACAAAACTTTATGACCTTTAGATTGAAATAATAAATAGGATCCATGGCTTAAATACCTTGGCCACATGCTGATGGTTGATAACCAAGAAATCCAACAAAAGTATGAAAAAAAAAAGGTAGAGGTCGAGGGAGGAATTTTGTGGAGTATGTAGGGCTCATAGGGCGCGTAGGCGGAGAGTGGTAGATTGTAGGATTGCAACTAGTTATTCCGATAGATATATGTTGATGAGAATGTATGAGGTAGGTAGATTACGTGCTTCATTCAATACTAACGAGAAGAGGTTTGGACAGACAGGATGTACAGACAGAAAATTGTGTATATATGTACACGTGTATATACATAGGCTGCATACATACAGAATCATACATATACACGCCACACAAAAAACACGCATTCATACCAACCTTCGAGTCACAGCAGCACTAAGTCACTGGGTTACCAATCCCATTCCACAACACATGGCGTTCTCGAATACCAAAAAAATGTGCCCCCCAACCGTGGTGTGGGACACCCCACATGTGTGTGTTTTGATGTAGGATTGATTAAGAATATGGCTCTTAGACTCAAACGTGTAGACGGGGCAACCTCTATAAAATACATTATGGGTAACCGCAGTTTGTGCAGTTTGATTGGTTATGACGGGGTTGGGCACACAGGGAGCATTGGGCTATGGAACGGCAGTGTTAGGCAGGATGTCCAAAGCGCCAACGGCTTTGACATTGACGGGGAGGAGGTTGGTATGGTCGAACAGGGAGGGATTGTCTACCAAGGTAGATACGAAAGTGAACGTCATGTGTATGGAAAGTAATTTTGGCAATGTTGGTGGGTTTCTTACGATGACTTCTAGGAGGAATGGAATAGCAATATACTGATATCACGTCCTCGTCTTTGAGGCAGCCGAGTAAGTATTCTCCACAATCTGACTAATCAATATCCATAGGGCATTTTGCTGGGAAGAGTCAGTTCCGGTACAAGTTAAGAGTTGGAGGAGGTTCTGCAGGAATGGGGTTACCAGAGATACAAGTTTTGATAATGCTATAGTTTGTTTCAGATGCGACTGTTACGAGACAGGGAAAATTGGGAACAGAAGCTAACACTCCCACTTGCTTTTGGAAACATTGTTGAAAGAATAGTGTTTCCCGAGTAAGGAACTATGGGGTTGGGGGGGGGGAGGCGATTATGAAAAATCTGTCCCATTTGGCTGGGCTAAATTGAGTATTCAATGGTTAAAATGGTTAAAAGCGAAAGTATTATGCTAGGCATCTGTCATGTAGCACTATAGGAAGGTATAGTAAAGGGTGATGTCAGGTCATAGGTGCTATGCATCATCTAGAGTAATGTTGGAGACAGGTAATGGAGTTAATGAGGGAAAGGGTTATGGTGGTTTAGGTAAGGGAATCAGATCAAGTGAAGGACATTTATGCGTCTAAGGAAGGAGAACAGGTTATAAGAAGCAAGGATATGATGTAGGTCTGGTATGAGAGAAGAAACAGCGAATATTCCAATGTAGGAGAGCTATATTTTAGTCATTTCATGAGTGAAATTGCCGGTGCATGGTATGGAATCTGGGGAGGGAAGGAGCTAGGGGGTGTGACACGAGTGATTCCCTTGTGTATCCAGGAGTTAGTGGAAAGGATAGAGGGAGAGGGAGGGAGAATGTGCGTATAGTTGGAGTTGAAGGGGGTGTGTTAGGAGGAAGGGGTGTAGGGGGAATATGAGTAGGAGGGTTATGGATATCGGCAATCACTTCAAGTGTGGAGGGAGCACGAGTTGTGGAATTTTGTTTCAAGCATATAGCTCTGAAGGTCTTCCATAGTTTCTGCAGTGGAGTGGGTTGGAGTTGTGGGACAAGGTTTTATGAGGGGGGGAGAGGAGATGGTGTTGTGGCTGTAGTTGAGGTTGGAACTGGTTGAGATTGGGGTGCCTGGATTTAGACCTGGATTTAGAGTGGCAAAAGAATGATTGGGGGTGGAGGTTGAATGTACAAGTGGAAGTGGAAGTGGGGAAGTAGGTATAGGGAAGGGTGTAGGAACATCAGGTGAAGGGGGAGGGGCAGAATGAGCGACATTACTGCAGTAGGGAGTACAAGAAACCTTGTCAATGTGCTTCCTGTCTGGCATCATGTAGAGCCAGACCCTTTGTATCCGAGAGCTGCTACCTCTGTCCTACTTAAAAGTTAGAGTCAGCCTCTAAATAAATTATGGGGTCTGCCTCAGTTAGCTCATGTGTGTATTTGATCAATTATGAACAAGTTGGGCAGAGGGGGGCATCAGTCTGGTGCCACTTTGGCAGGATGTCCAAAGTGACAATTGACATTGCCGGGGAGGAGGTTGGTATAGATGAACAGGGAGGGATTGTCAGGACGCCTCGCTGCCTGGCATGAGGTCTTGCCTCTCATTTTGCTATCAGGGCTGGATGGGGGCCGAGGCTGGGTGTGGCTGGCCCTCGGCGTCAGCGCTCTCGCTCTCATTAATGTAGATACGAAAGGGGTCATGTGAACTGAAAGTAAATTTGGCAATGTTGGTGGGTTTTTGATGACCTAGGAGGAATGGAGCAGCAATGTACCGATATCACATCCTGGTCTGAGGCAACCGATCAAGTCTTCTCCAAAATCTGACTTTTTTTCAGCTGGGTAGTTTGGGGATTCAATACTTTTACCAGAACTAAGAGTTGGATGAGGTTCTGCAGGGATGGGGTTGCCAGAGATACAAGTTTTGATAATGCTATAGCTTAAGCTTTACGAGACAAGTGATCGCGTCAGGCATGGAAAAGGACTGCCTACATGGTTTGAGACTTTAAAAAAGAGCATTAACCAAGTAAAGAGCTGTAGGGGGATCACGAAAAGTATTTTTAGGGTTAGTGGTGGTAGAATGACATGTGGAATTGGGTGTTGAGGGGGGGTAGTATTATGGAGATGGAGAATAAGGCTGTAAGGTAGTAATAAGGGAGATTGGGGGTTTGGTGATAGTTGTAGGGGGTAGAGGTTCGAAGAGTAGGAAGGTCTTCTGGAGATAATCTCCAGACATGTTTAATGCACTAGTAGACATTGAGTGGGGGTAGTTTGTTTGGAGTAGTCAAAGGAGATCTTCGTGTTGGGGAGCCAGTGGGGTTATTTGATGAAGGGGCAATCCTTATTGCCCCCTGATAAGGGTATTGCATTTTCAGTACTGGCCATGGGAAGCCTTTATTATGCAAGGGAAATGAACATTCCACCCCCAATGCCCTGTATGCAGGTAAGGGCTTAGACAACTAAAGGGAGTAGTGTGCCTATGGTTTCCAAGGCTGTTCAGGACTGGCACAAGGTCAGCCTTTCAGCACAACTTACACCTTATGAAGTAGGAAGTTGGAACAGGGCCAAGGCCCTAGGCAGGGGAGATTTCTGCCTGGTCTCCATCTCCTAACCCTCCACCGCCCCCCCTCCACGACAACAGCAGGCAAGGGATTGGGGTGGTGCTTATAGGGAGGAAAAGGGTATAGGTGGAATAAGAGCAGGAAGGGGATAGATGTTGGTAGTTGTTTTGAGCGAGCACAATTTGCAGAATTTTGTCTAGCATATAGCTTTTGAATATCTGTCTCTGCAGTGTAGTGTGTTTGAGCGTTTTGCAAGACATGTTCTTATGAGGGGATAAGAAGACTGGTGTAGAGGAATTAGGGCAATGGTAGGTGGGGGAAAGTTTACAGTAGGGGAATGTTTAGTCTGTGCTGCATGCAGTGCAGGGAGGGAGGGAGATACTTTGGCTGCAGTCAAGATTGGAGCATCTGGATTTAGAGTGGCAAAAAGAATTTCTGGGCAAGATAGAATGTAGAACCTAAAGTGGGAAGTAGGTAGAGGGTGTAGGAATAACTTGGGGTGGAGGGGGAGGGGCAGAGTGAGCAACATTCCTAGAGTAGGGAGTAGGAAAGAAACCTTGTTGCCATGCTTCATGTGGAGACATGACTAATTTAAGTGGGATAGACTCTTAAAGAGGTTTATGGGGGCTGCTGCAGTTATGTGGGTTTGTGCAGGACAGTTTTCCCAGACTCCTGCCCTGTATGTGCCCAACCTGGTCATTACTGGTCTGATAGGTCTGGTGCACCAGTTTTGACATTGATGGAGGTTGGTATGGTCAAACAGGGAGGGATTGTCCAATGTAGATTGGAAATTGAAGCTCCTGTGAACTTGAAGTAATTATGGCAAGGTTACCATTTCTTTATATGACCTAGGAGGAATCTAGTAGCACTGATATTAGATCTGAACAATTTCACAATCTGACATTTGTTATGCATAGGGAAGCAATGTTCAAATTGAACATTTGAACAATGGGGAACAGGTATGGGTAGTAGAATTACTAAATTACATTAATAAAGATTCAAAATTTTCTTTGCAAGCCACTGAGGTTATTAAAAGACGGTATACCATATATCTGTATTAAAATCTAAAAATAATGGCTCCACACTCCACTTATTCTCGGTATGAATACCCTTTAGCATTCAATCTTATTGTCATCATTCGACTTGGGTTTGTACAAGAAATTAGTAGCAAGTCTTCCTTTGTGTCTATCTTCTTTACGTCAAGGGGATTATTACATACTGGGATCTTCTGCTGCAAGTGGAAGCCCTGAAAGACCAATAAAAAAGTTTAGCAAGTCTTTATAAATAAATATCCAAATACAGATCCAATTACAGAAAAGTGTTCTACTTACCTCTGAAGGCAAGACTTCATAAATGTCTAGTGTATTTGTTAAGTCTGAAAGAACTGCCAAGTATAGATCCTCTCCTATTGATAGGGATGTTTGAGCAACTGCTCCAAAAGTTGGTAAACTCTCGTATGGAACATATTCAGAATCCATAAACTTGAACACCTGCAAAGTTTGAATAAATTTATTTTTCATTTATGGAAAATAATGACCCTTTAAATTTAGAATTTATCAAGCCTTACCTGAACTTTCGTACAGAACTTAGTTTTCTCTAGTGCTGATTTAGCTGCCATATATTGTGTAAGAACGAAGAATCTCTCATTCAAAGTACTTTTTGAATTCAAAAAGATTCCTGAAGTTACATGTTGTCCCATAACTTCTTGGATAAGGTTGAACTGAAAAAGTTAATATAATAAATATTTTTCTTAAGATAATATTACCGAGCAATCCGATTATTAATCATTTTACCTTTTCCTCAGCAGCAGACCACAAAAAGAGTTGTGATGGGGCCATGAAGGGATCTACAGTATCATTAGATGCCATTAAGTTAGCTACCAATAGTAACCATCCTTTATTCCCCTGAAAAACAAAAACATTTAGCGACTGCTTTTATAATTAGTGTCTAATTAATAGTTTTGATGTTCACTTCCTTACCAGAGTCAAGTCCACTGTTGAAGCACTGTAATAAGTATCCAGAGACCAAACTATGGTAACTGCATTATTATTCAGTTTTAAGACACTTATTTTTGTAGTTGCAGCTGTATTTGTATCTAGAATAAAAAGAATACTATTATACTTTCTCTAAAGTATGCATAAAGGGAATGGCCTTCTAAAGATTTTAAAAAGTTATCCTTGTGTTCTTGTCAAATTTTAAAGGGATTCCTTTAAAGTATGCATAAAGGGAATGGCCTTCTAAAGATTTTAAAAAGTTATCCTTGTGTTCTTGTCAAATCTTTAAATTGTCTTTATAGTGTTTGAGACAAATACATAAACCTCGTTTAAGAGGTGCTTGAATCTTAACTATGGGTTACTTACCATAAGTTGCACCTGCTGTTACAATGTAAGTGCCATCTTTGGTACTGAAGGATTTTGCATCGGCAATATTCCCTAGTGTCGATCCCTGTGGCAAGCTTGTTTCCTTGTTGTTTAACAAGATCTTCAAAGTACTTGATCCACCATTAGCACAGCTAAAATTAAATAACCTTGTAGTGTAATATCAACTATTAAAGGTTAGATTAGATTAGATTCAGAAGTCACTACACACCTGCTTAGTAGTCTTGTACCTTCATAACCTTTAGAGTTAAAAAGGAATGCAGCATTTACATCAGTTTCTCTCCTGGTTAGACTACCACTATCATCAAACTGAAAAATGACGATATTAAAAGATTTGTCTTACACTTGCCGAAAGTTTTGATTTCAAATTTATTTTACAAGTTTCTTACTTCATAGAAAGCATATTGCGAAGGGCATTGGCATTCATAATTGCCGCATTCCCGGACAGCCACATATGGGGTGGCTCCAAATGTTCCAGAAGTCATTTTACCAGAAACCAATATGGCCTCTTCATTTATCTTATCACCATAGTTGTAAGTTTCATACATTCCTGTAGAAAATTACACTTTTAGCATTACATCTTAAACTAGCTCAAGTAAGAGGGGGAACTTGAAATTGCTTACCACAGGAGAGCAGCTTTGTGTCAACATGGGTTGTTGACAATGTTAAGTTAAGGCTTGTTAAGCGGTCGTTCTCAGCTTTAATATTTCCTTGTAGTATCGAGGCTCCATAGTCAGTTTCAGAGAGATCATAACCATTTACATTTCCTTGTACCAAGACATCTACTTGAGAGGTAGTCTCCTTATTGAAGACCTGAAGGAAAACTATGCTATATACTGAACAAAGTGTTAAGTGTCATGTATGTGGAACCAAACTTACCAGTTCTTTACTTATAGTAGCTGCTCTGTCTTTTCGGACCACGTTATTATTCAAATCCAGAATATTTACTCCATTTACTACAGGAGCCTCCATTTCACCAACTACATGTAGACCTCCAGAGAAGGTTTTAACTCCTTCAATGTCTTGCTGCACCCTTCCAGATTTAAAGACTATATCTGATACTTTTATACCATTTATCACTTCAACGAGAAGGTCACCTGTAAATTCAGAAGGCTAATTTCAGTACATCTTTCCTTCTAAGGTAGAAAAAAAAAAAAGTCTTTCATTGGCATTTTACCTTCCACTTTCATTCCCTCAAATGTAGTCGACGAGCTTAAAGCTTCAGTAGTATCTAGTTTGATCCTGTCAGACAGGAGCTGCTCAAGGTTTACATTGTCCAGTAGTCCATCGACCTGATGGAAGTAAGGTTTTGTAGACCCGAATACAAACCAAGGTATTTAAAATTATGCAAAGACTATTAAAATACCTTCAAATCTCCCCTTATTGATATAGGGGCTTTGAAGACTAGTTCATCAGCACGTCTGTCATACTTTGATAGCACCACCAAGTTGTTGACAACAACTCCATCCAAGGATCCTGTGGGAGGATTGAGTCAATACAAGTAAAGATAAAAAAAAAAAAAAAAAAAGAAAATTTACTTGCTCTTACTAGACTCACCATCAATATTTAGTTTTTCAACATTAAGACCACTGTTGAAGGTCTTGTCACCAGTGATCAGATATGGTCCACCTGTTAAGTGTACTGCATGGACATCCACATCTGTCACATTCATATTGTTGATTAAGACCCCTTGAGCACCTGATCCATGCAAGGAGGTTTTTACCTTGGCATTACCAACCATCAGAAGTCTTGTGAAGTCTGTGTTACAGTCAATTACCTGCAATGATATACAACGTCACATACCTTTCAACCTATTATTAATAATATACTCTTAGGACTGAGATACTTACACTGTCTTCATTATCCATAACAGTATCATCATAGAGAATGTTAACGTCTACTCCATCTATGGTGGTAGCTTGGAGGTCTGTCACAGACACCTTTGTCACGAATTCTACTGTACCTGAAATTTAATAGTTTTAAGAGTAAAATAAATCTTAAATTAAGAACTTCAATTAGCAAGTTCAAATTGTCCTTTCAACTTACCAGAAATATCTTGATTAGAAGACTTTGTTACAATAGTATCAAGGAAATGGAAGATGTCCATTTGGCCTGTTCCTGCTTTCACTGCAGCATTTGCGATTACATCGCCCTTAACCAAAAGATTTTTCACTCCCATGTTGTATGGGATTACCACATCCCCATTACCATCTCTCCAAATTGTTGATGCGTTCAACTAAAATATGAAAGTAGAGTTAGCAAGCCAAAGCTTTCCTTATCCAAGTTTACTACAAGTCTAGATTTACAAACCTGAAGTAAATTGCAGCCATCAAGAATGCCAGAGTCAGAGGTCACATCAGCAACAAGCAAGTTATCAGCAAAGTCAACTGTACCAGATACTATACTGGTCTCGTCCAGGAGGAGGAGGTTGGAGGCCAATACTCCATCAATTTGTGCTGCAACTACATTCTCTGAAAATTGAGGTTCATATTTATACCTTGGAAGGTAGCATTTTATACATAAAGTATAATTCATGAGCACTCAAAATTTGGGTTTAAAGAATTTAACCCTTACGTACTAGCAGTAACATCCCCATCGATGGTGTATTTGCTGGCAACATTTTGGTTTGTACTTTTAGTCAGTATTCTGTCTGATAGCTGAGCTACATCAAAGCCATTTATGGTTGTTGGATTGAAGTTACCCGAAATGGATACTGGCTTCGTGAAGGTCTTCCTTCCACGAATTACGCCATTGTAATTTTGGGGTACAACCTGAAATTTAAAGTATATTCAGGTTCATAGATACAAGGATATACATATGGATATACATATAAATATATATATATTATACATATATAAATATACATGTACATATATATATATATGTATAGGGAAATGTACTTGCCTTGCTTAAGTGGGTGCTCCAGTGTTTGCCATTAACCGTATCCAGAGATGGGCTCAAATCTAAGTTAACTCCTTTATTCACCGTTATTGATCCTGTTACCGTCTGTGGTGTAGCAGAGTTCTTCTTGAGACTGCGATCCACAAGATCTACGATGTCAACACCGTCAACCGTTCCACCAACTTCGAGGTTGGTTGCTGTTAAGAGAGGGCAAACAATGATTGTTCTATCAAGTTTAACAATCATTTAAGATAAAGTGCAGTACTTAATATATACCTGTAATGCTAGAGGTAAACTTCAGGGGTCCAGCAATTGATGCATCTTCATTTACAATGACCAAGTCTGCCTTTGCAGCTTCAACGTTCAGGCCATTAAGGCTATGGACCATAATGTTTGCACTCGAGAGCTGCAGAGCTTGTGCAGTAGTTTTGTCACTGAAGGTAAGACTCCCTAGAAAGAAGGGAGTGTTAATATACCATCATTACTTCAAAACACGAGTTGAAAAGAAATTTACTAACCAGTATGGTGTAGAGACTGGTCAAGCCGTACGAAGTCTGTCACTACATTCCATCCATTGAGGTTTCCACCTAGCATTAAGTCCCCAGATATGATCAACTTGCCGAAATTCTAGAAAGAATATTGCAATTAGAATCTAATATACGTTTTAAATTTAGATTTTAAGTTAAATTTTAAGAGTAAATTTACATACCGTTTGTGTTTCTATGTCTTGATTATCTGACAGGGTTACCAAGTTCTCCTTGAGCGAAGATACATCCACACCATCAATTTCTTTGCCATCTGTTACTTTGAGATTACCATCTACCGTTACCAATCCCTGTAGAGGGACAAAATCTTTTCTTAGGGGGGGGAAAAAAAAAGATCACTAAAATCCACAATCTGGCATTGTGAGGCCTATGTGCACCACTGCCATGCACTAGAGCATTGTGGTGGCTTTTAAATTTTAAATGTCTACCACCCCACATGCCTGGAATGAAAATGTATACCGTCACATCTTATCCGAATTTATTACTTTGTGTCTATATGTACACAAGGGTCTACGAGAAATTTTACACTGTCACCACTCTGGGTGAGGGAGAGACTTTTCTGCAGTACACATTCACTATTCTCACTAGTTCGGCGTTTTGACGGGACTGTTCAATGCTTGCGTTTTATATTGCGTCTTCCCATTTTGTAGAGACTATTGGTTGGAGTGTCTGCTAAGACTAGGATAAAGGGTTTTGGGGAGAAAGTAAAGGAGGAAACCGCCGATGTGGCACCTCAACCCTCTGTCTCGCCTCCTAGCTAGCCTGGAGCACATGGAGCCTGGGTTGCTGCCGACAGCTGCGGCCTTCAGACAAGCTGTTATTAGGAAGACTGATAGTGTAGAGACTTAAAGATGCCCCTTGTACTTTTCTCCATTAGGAGATGGAGAAAACAAAGGGACTGAAATAAGATGGGGAGAACTGTACAGTCAAAGAATTTCTTTGGGCTATTTTATGTAAAGCCCAAAAAGTGCTAAAAACTTGCATAACATTGAGCCACAAAAGTTTAATATTTATAACCACACTGAAGGCAATAGTGTTCCACAGCCTCAGTAATGGTTATGGAAGAGCTGGCCTCTCCAGGCTGTCAGCTCTTTGGCAATCTTGAGATGCTGCAATTTATTCACGAGTCAGGCAGACTCATTACTGTACCAGGACAGGTTTATAAACAGAAGTGTATACATGGAACTTACTGAACTAGCCAACAGGCAGGCTACAGTACCAGTTTGTGAGAAAATAGTTGTCATTTTTGGAACATTGCTCACTCATTGCCATAAATTGTGTTGGGGCAGGATTTGTAATATATTGAAATAATTTTGCAGATATTGTTCAGTAATGAAAAAATTAAACATTTGATGAATGGCAAGACAGCATGCTGTCAAGTCTCAAGCCAACTTCGATGGGCTTTTCGGGAGGATGGAGGCTGAAAGTGCTTTGCAACTGGGGATGCTCAGAAAATTGAGATTCAAATATATTACACTTCTGAGTGACAGATTCTAGTGCTTATATTGCCGTCACCAGCATGACTATTTGAGATGACCCTGTAGGGTCCAAGGGTTGAAAAGGAAGACTGCATGGATCATGTAAAGAATGTATAGAGGGTTAGGACAAGGTTTTTAAACTGAAAGAAAGTCACGAACACATGTTAAATTAGTTAGAAAAAGTGTTGGCAAGCACCAGCAATATGCAAAAGCAATAAAGGACAGTGGGAGCCTATCACATCACAATTAAACTGAGGATTAGGTCTGGGTTCTGGCACACCCTGTCACAGGATGGAAAAGGAAACACCTGCACTGATCCATCCTGGCGTTTTCAAAAAAGCCATGGACAATGAACCCATGCCCTTGCATAACACTATACAGAACCATCTACTTGACAAGGCTTACGAAGATCGTGCGAGGTCAATCTTCAATGACCTTCTCCAGCCCTCCTTGACTGATGTATGAAAGGCCACAAAATAGGAATGGAGTACTCAAAAGCTGTGGCTGCACCAGAGCAAAGCTTACTGGCCTCAAACGGATGAAATTCATATCATAGCTTATGATACTGGAACAACCTTGGGAAGCCTGTATCCAATAAATAAATTGGAATCATAACCATCAGATCCCGAGTCAACTAAAACAAGTATGAAAAGTAATATCACTACACCGGCCAAAGAGAAAGCTGAAGAAAAACCCTCTAATTCTGCAGACAAGCCAGGGGGCTTTGATGCCTAGCCATTCGTTGGCATAACCTGGCAATAAAGAGTTTGGAGGCAACCAATGATACCCTCCCCTCTGAGGTACTATTTTGTCTATTACAATAGAGGAGTCTCCATACATGTAGAAGACAAAAGGGGACCAGGTGCCTATATCAACCGAGAAAAATTGACCAAACCCTCCCTGTAGAATTGAGCCCAGGTGACCTGAATGAGCTTCCTTGACCTTGATCTCTTGAAAATCAAAGTATATGGTAATGAATTGGAAAGTTAGTGCTAAAATAAGATGCATTGTACTGTACATTGTATATGGACACGTGTTCAGGTGACCAACTATTGATTTTTTTTTTTTTGCACACTTTAATAAAAACTTGCATATTAAAATTCAGAAGCTCATAGGAGCTTAAATTGTAGCTTACCAAATTTGCTTTTACTTGTGAACACTTGTATACAAATGGTTTTCCCCTTTGCACGTCTTAAATTATAGTAGAGTTTTCCATAAATATACTTTGGTGCATATGTAACAGTCAAAAATTCTGGGGAAAAATTAAATCTTGTACATTAAAAAATCCCCAGGGGTATCACTTATTTAAGCTGTAAAATACAATTATTCTGGATGAAAAAGTACGGCCACAAGACACTGCGAACGGGAAAAAGATTCCCCCTTAGGAAGGCCATTCACAATATTAGGCTCTTGTATAAAATTAATTATTACGAGATTTCTTACCTGGAAGGTGTATGCTCCACTTATTGTTTGGGGGCCTGTCACAGACAAGAAGTCTTCCATCTGGTGGCTGTTAATATTTCTTGCTGTTACAGCAGCTCTGTAATCAATTTGGATCGATTAGTTTTGGTTAGGTTTGATATATGCAATATATTTTACTTTAGAGGCGCATTACCTGAACGTAGTTTCCACAATGTTTGGCGAAACATCTACTACTTGGTCAGTGCTCTTTCTCCAATAACGGTCTTCAATACCCTTTAGTGCTAATCCATTAATAACTTCAACATTTACATCCTCTGCCACCTGCAAGTCAGTGCTTATTTAGTGTTGAAATTGAGGAATTACTACTTAAAATTAATGAAGTTACTCACTTACATGAAGAGCAGCATTAAATGTGACATCCCCTTCTACAAGGAGGTTACCATTATCATCCAGCTTGTCGAGGCTATATGGGTCGATATTATTAATTTTGACAGAATCCAACATCCTTACTCCTCCAGTGCCAATCACCAACACATCGTCAGTGAAGGTTAAGCCTCCTAAAAGGAAAGGAAATCGATTTACTCTCACTCACTTACACTAACTAAAACTAGATGCTATAGTAGTATACTTACCCAATATTGTCTGGTCTGCATCTATAGTCACCACATCTACACTTGGATTTATTCCATTTATGTTGGTGCAATGAATGGCAGATTTTACATTTGCATTTGTAAATTTATAATTTCCATTAATGTTAATGGTATCCTTATCTACGATGTTATCCATAACAATGCCATTCAGTTTTGGGCTGAGCATGTTCCCAGCTACTTCGAAGTCGTTCTGGTAGTTCACATCACCTGAAAGCAAGCATTTGGTAAATATCCATTTGAAGCTATTTAAATATTAACCTAAATATTACATTATATTAATCCATTTACCAGATAATGTGAAGTCTCCAGTAGTTCTGACAACCATGGTATTAAGTTGTTTCATGTCAACACCATTGATGTTTTTGACATCTACATTGCCATCCACATCTACATCATGTAGACTAAAGTGACCATCTAGTATTTGAGGACTATATACATTTGTGTAAACCAAATGGCTTGATAAGTCCGACAGGTCGACCTGCAATAAGAAATTATATATTACATATGGTAACTAGTTATATATACACACACGTCTATCTACAATAAAATAAAAGCAGTGCTTACTTCATTAAGCAGTTGAACATCCAAGTCCTCTAAGACAGTCATACTGTTAAAGGTTTTCTTGTCTACAAATGTAAAATTATTTCCTTTCGTCACAATTTTACTGGTGTCTATTCCATTAACAACTAATGGAGACCCGTCACCCTGCTTGCCATGGACGTTGTTTATATTTATATTTTTGTAGTAGTGGTTACCCGTTACTTCTTGAGAAGCAAGAGACTTTCTCAAAAATTCTGAAAAATTCATCAGTTCAAGGGGGAACTTTGCATTATCATTAAGATAAAAAATAAATAAAGCCTTACTTACGGTTGGTATGCACATTGTTGATGGTTGCCGACGAGGTTAACTCCCTTGTAGAAAAGCCATCAGTCGTCATCGAGTGAATGTGCATTGTAGACATTATGTTCTGATCTATTCCATCAATCATGAAGGTGCTAGACATATCCAGCAATGGCATTTCATTTAGCTGAAAATGAAAAGGGGCCAAATGAGCCCAAGTAGTTAAAAAAGTTTACCCCTCTCACCACCGAATATAGTTTAACCAACCTTGGTTATTTTTGTACTATTCGATTCTAGTTTGTCTGCAGTTACATCAGAGGCGCCAATAGACCCGAGGAGTACTTGGTTTGTAGAGTGGTACAAGACGTCATCCAAGCTAACACCAAGGTCGTCTATAAGCACCTGTTAGTGCAAGGGAAATTAAAGGTTTAAGGTTTATTTAATGGAAGTATTGTCACCAATGTTTAAAATCAAGTTTCAAATCTCACCTCAACATCTTCTGTTTTGGAGTAGAACTCTTCATAAGTTTCTGCATGTTGCTGTGCTGTACCTTGGCCCTTTACAGTTACTGTTTGAAGGATATTCGTTGTGGCATCAACCGTTAAACCAGCTGCGAATGTTTGAGTTTGTAGCCAAGTCTGAAATTACCGTGTAAGAATTGGAGCTAAAGACTTGGTGGCAAAAGGGAAGTGAAGATTTCATAAATGAATTTGAATACGAGAGTTAGAAGGGGAGCAAGGTCAAGAAACAGACTAAGTATAAGAGAAGGGTAAATAGTGGGGTGGAGTAAAACTACCAATTGGCAAAACAATTTGAATATAAATTCCATGTTAAAATAATTTGTATAAATATTTAATTTACACAAAATGGAATATGGGTAAGGCAGATTTTAGAACAGGTCCACAACTTGCATACTTAAAAATTACTAATATTGCTGCTGTTTAGAGTTAATGGCTATTTTACAGATAAAAAAAAAAAAGAATACTCTAGGAGTCTAGTCAATGATGTTAGAATATACGGTTTGGTCCGAGGGGCCTCACTCCCTCATGCAGCTTCATGGCAAAGCAGGCATCCAATTTAATATCTAATCTTCATGTAAATTCAAGCTATCAGATGGAACGCTTGTATAAACATGAGGGAGCAGGCTATAGCTAGCTTAACTTTGTTAGCTAAATCTGGGGAAGCTAGGCAGGAGCTATAGGGTTTTCAGATACAAGATTAGAGTAGTATTGCCACAAGGGGCCGTTGGGATCAAAGCACTATTTGGCTGGACTATTCCATTAAACCACGATTTCTAACTGGAATAAGGAGGTCCATGAGGTCTAGTGGTAGAGTGGAGACACTAAAGTTGGAAAACAAAAGCCTAGATAGACCTAAGGTAGGTATTACAATTTACTCCCTTCTACCCATTAATGGGATCAAGTTCTAGCACTTTCATACATCTTTTCCTTTAACAATTTAAGTACTAACCTGTGACACATCATTAGTCATAACAATGTCTTCTGCAATTGCCTGTTCAAGTCGAGAAATAGTAGGCTTCCTGGCATTTAGGTCTTTTTTCAAGTCGAGCAGACAATCTAAGAGAAGATCTTCCCTGTCTTTTGGTTTATCTGAAACCAAATTTAGAGTCAATATTCCAAGTTTAAGTTGGATACCACTATAGTTAACCAAATGAGAAATGGCATTTAAAAAGGCTTACCTAGAGCCACTTCATCCATAATCACTTCTCTGGAGTCTAGTCTGCTTGACTGATTTTCCACACAGATATACACAATCACGTATGTATTGCTTAGTTTCTTCATGAGGAGGTTATGTATGGACTGGCAGTTAGTTTGCATTACAAAACTTAATTTGAAGTAGCCAAACACGTCATCCGTGTAGAAGGACACACTATCCTGTAAGATTTTTAGATTTAAGTTTATAGTTTACATTTTTTTTTTTTTTTACGAAAAAAAAAAAAAAAAGGGAAGAACTTACGCCCCGGGCAGTCATTATAATGGTTTCAAGTGAAGGGAAAGTGTAACTTGCTACACTCGTAATAGGTGGCACAGTGTTCTGGGTTTCCAACCGTTGCCATCTAATAAAGCTTAATCCTGGGAAAAGGAAATTGGATTAAAGCTCGTCATAGCAGTATAATCATATCCAAATAGCTAAAGACTCCTAATACTAACCTTCCCAACGGTAGAGCACCGTTTCAGCACCATTATTTACAAGAATATTGTGCTTTCCCTCTTGCTGTTCATAGAAATATGCGGAGCTAGTGACGTCCGTCTCGTCTAGTATTTGACTTAAATACATATTATGGAAGTCAGTGAACCTGTACACATGAGAACCTCCCTGGAAAATAAAGATAAATTAAATTATTTCCAATTTCCAATATCGAAAATAAAGTTTGTTAATGATCAAGATCAAATTAACTTACAGCCTTAGACATTCCAAAGATCAGGAAGTATTCTCTTCCCTTCCTGAAACCCGTTACACTTGTTACGTTTCTACAGGTGAAGGAAACTTCATGCTGCTTGTCGAAGTGATTACCAATCAGTTTGTAGAGACTAGAAAGAAATTTATTTATTAGTCATGAACCAATAACTTTCAATCTTCAACACTTTACATTTCTATTTAAATGTTACCTCGTCTCAGGTTCACATTCCTTTCCAGATGCACGACCTGCGATACCCGTCACCATATACAAACTGCCACGGTCTTCAAACATATGAAGTCCGCCTACCAAGCCATTTGCTTCAAAAGTTTGAGGCATCTCCACAGTAGATTTATGAAGGTCAGCACGAAGAGTTCTCACATATTGGTTGTTCAAAGCTGTTAAGACTACCCACAGTATTCCATTGTGGACATGAGCCTGGAAATTAGGGGTCATTATTTTCCATGTTACTTAGATAAGCGTTGGTTAAAATTGCATTTCCTCCACAAAACTTGAAAATATTACTTACTGCACATTTCCCAAGAACTGAAAATTCTTCAGTTAGTTGAAACTCTGCAATTAGCTTCAGCATGCTCAAAGCTTTGTCTACTTCAACTATAGCATGGGATCTGTGATGTCTGCAATGAAATTTAATTAGTGCACAGCAATCCATTACTCCATGTAATAATAATAATAATTATTATTATTTTTTTTTACTTACCCGTCATAAGTCATAATCCAGTAAGCACTGTTCTGGGCATTGTGTACCGTTAATTTAGTCACACCAACAAGGTTGGTAGAGTTGAATTTTGACAAATCGTCCATGGCAAACGAGTATCCTGTGCCATATCCTGCTGTACCACTCACTTTTATTGAAGTCAAATCAAGAGCTGTAATTAAAGCAAGTTT